AGATTGTAAGCTCCCAGGATCAGGGCCCTCCTTTCCCTCTTGTATTGAACTGTATTGTTGCTGTATTGTCTCTCGTTACATTGTAAAGCACTGAGCAAACTGTTGGCACTATATAAATCCTGTATAATAATAATAATAACAGTTTCCAGTTTGTGGTGCACAGATACAGTTTCGTAGTTTAAACTCTAATGAATCTAAGCTTTATGAAAACTCTAGAACTATCAATTTCCTTTGAATAATAAAAAGACACCATTACCAACTTTAGACTTGTTTATTGAAGCTGAAGAAAAGTGTTCAAAGTTTTATAAATATGAACTTTACTGGAACAGTGACTTAGGTCACTAAGACAGGTAACATACAAAGACACAAACAGAAGTTCTGCCAGAAGCCAATCCATTCCCCTCGAATTGTCCAGTGTTCAATTCTTTCAGCTGCCAAGTGGTGTAATAATAATAATTAAAAAAAAAAAAAAAAAAAAAAAGTCCTCAAAAAACATTAAAGTGCAAGTTCTACCTTAAAAGAGTGGCAGCTGGAATGCAAATATGTAACATGCAAACAGTCTGACATGATGGGTTTACTCTTCACAAGCATAAAAGGCAGTAGGACAGTTCAATGCTACCGTATGAAAAAAAATAAAAAATAAAAAAATCTGACTGGCTCGCCAAAAGTGTAAACGGCAAAACTCTTGCCAGAAGTAACAGGTTCTACTCTACTCAAGACTTGCGTTTAAAATAAAAAGAAACCAGCAGGTGACAATAGACATTTGGACTTCCTATTCTAGAAAACATTACTTTGCTCATTAGCAAATAAAAAAATTTGGAAGCAGTGCTTATAGCCTTTAAAGGGAAACCCCCAAAGTCCATTGTCAGCTTCTAAATGGCAGAATGACAGGTCTGCAGTCTAGAACAAGAATCATTTTTGGAGATTTTGGTCCCGAGGTACCCAATAAACAACCTTTTTTATTTTCTTGGTGTACACCTTATACAGTAAATATCTAGTAGCGGTTAGTCATAATCAATTGAACTTTTTCTGAAATTTTGAACACCTTTCATAGCTTAACCAAGCCACTTCCTCCATTCAGATCTAAAGAAGTGCCTTGGATCAGCTACAAAACATCTTCAGAAGTACAGAACACGTCCAGTTGAATGTGGCCAACTACGACTAGATACATCATGACCTGGATAAATAAGAACCATCGCAGACTTGCTGTACAATAAAATTTGGCATTCAGCTACTCAAGGCTCCATGTGACGTGAGCTCCGCTTGGACGGCTGCCAAACCATCCGCTCTGCTATCTTGACACATGAAAGTATTGAGTAGGAAAGCAGCAGAGAGGATATGGGACTCTGTTTCTGGCAGGTATCAAGGTATTTGTTTTTGTGGTAGAGTAGACAATTTCATTTTTAGTCTGACGTTTGATAACTTGTTCTTCCCAAAATAGTTTTGCTCTTTTTAGATTTTAAAAGACAGACAGACCATGCAGTGTCACAAGTTTCGTATTCAGACCTATCATACAAAAGTGATTTGTACAATTCTCCCGGAAGCCTTGGCAAGTCTAATGGGAGTAATGTTTATTAATGGAAAGGTGGCCCACAAAGACTGACTGGTCTTCTAGAGCAGTGGTCTCCAAACCAACTCAGGGACTAGATGTGGCCCTTTGCTTGCCTGTATCTGGCCCTTGGGGCATTATTCTTCAAACTGACACCAATGATAGACCATCATTCCTTCCACTAACACATTTGATGGGGGACTATTCCTCCCACTGATACCAACAACAGGGCACAGTTCCTCCCATTAAAACCAATGATGGTGCATAGTTTACTCCCACTGGCCAGTCAGGCCACCTAAAGCCTGGAGGACAGTAAACTGTCCCTTTGCTTAGAAAGTTTGGAAACTCTTGTCCTAGAGCAGTGGTCTTCAAACTGTGGCCCTCTGCCTTTCTCTGACCCTTGAGGCACTATTTTTCCCCCACCAATGATAGGGCACCATTCCCCCAACTAACATCAACTATGGGACACTGTTCCTCCCACTAACACCAACAATGGGGCATCCTTTACTCCCACTGATGCGGAGACATTTTCTACTCCCACTGGCCAAAGCCAGAAGGAAAGCAAAACTGGCCCCTTTCTTTGGAAAATCTGGAAACCCATGTTCTAGGGCAAGCATAGGAATGGCCATGGGTTTTGATCACACCCCCTGCTGTCCCTTCCCTCCTGCTTTGTAGGACACCCCCTTGTGCTATTCTGATCAATCCACAGAGTCATTTCACAGCAGAAGGAAGTGCTTAAATTTACATAAGCCCCTACTCACACAAACATTTTGTGATGCAATTTCCAAAGCACTCAAGATGAAGAATCCCATTATACTCTATGGGACCTGAGCAGTGTGTTCCTTGTCACCTGTTGTGTGAAGCTCTAAAAAGGACATGAGCTTCTCTGGGGCAGAATTGCACATTTTTGGCCCCATAGACTTTAATGGGTGGGACGGAAAATGTGAGTCTGAAAAAGTCTACGAGGGCAAAAATGTTTGATTCTACTACTGTACGAAATAAACAAAAACTTGAAATCACCAGGCTATGCTCAGGCTAGTGTGAATGGGGGCTAAGACTCTCCAGGCATCCTAGAATAACACAGACCCTGGACCATGAGCAGAGATAGTTACAATAAAATACAAAAAATACAAACTGTTGTAGTAAGAAAAGAAAGCTATCTTCTACCATGCACGATGACCTATCTGTTGGGCTTACTGAAAAAAAAAAAAAAAATTGTTGTCTTTTCACACCACCTACTGCACCTCAAAAAGTGTATGTACAGCCAAAAATGTTACTTTTATAGTTTTGAATAAAACAGGGAAAAGTTAGAATGCTGATCAGGGTAATTTTTGCAATCTGTGTCCTGCTATGGAAATTTGCCCTCACTTCCTGTCTTTGAGATGCAAAAAAAAAAAAAAAAAAAAAAAACCTACCTCCCTAAAGTAAGAAAAATTTCTTCAGACAGTTATCAGATTATTTGCCCCAACTGAAGGATTTTCTTCCATTCTCCCATGAAACTCCAAAATTTAGGACAATTTGAGGAGTAAATTTACCCACTGTAAAATAGAAGACAATAAGCTCTAGCAGGGCCCGGTTTACTTTTGTACCACATTGTATTGTAACGTCTACCTTGATTTTGTAAAGCGCTGCGCAAACTGTTGTCGCTATATAATAATTTTTAAAAAATGGCTGAAGATCTAACCACTCCCTATCTACCCAAAATTAAAAGAAATGTTTAGCCTTCACATACACTTTAAAGTAAATCTTTACGCCAATTTTATTTTATTTTTTTGCTGTCCATAGTGGCGAGAGTTTTCTGCATTTCTTGGTCTAGTAAAAGCAAAAAAAAAAAAGGGGTCACAAGGACAGGAATTCTCCCCAATGGGGTTACACTGGGCAACAAGAGGTTTTAACCCCTGCCATGCTTTGTCCCCAAACCCCCCCCCCCCCCAAAACAATGAGGGTCCATTTACACCATTGTGGTGCATAGACTTCAACGCGAGTTGCGTTAAGGCAGCTCATTCAAAATGAATGGGCAACGAACACAACAGAATATGGTGCATGCATCATTTTTAGCAGCGCAACATACGTCTAATGGAAAGCAACGTTGGTTTACCATTCAGATTGAAAGACAACGCGTCGCCCCAATGCATGTAACATTCATGACTACGCATGGCTGCAATGGTGTCAATGGGCCGTAAGTCAAAAAACATCAAGTGGATGCTACCAATATAGCTTTTTTCCTGCACAGCCTAAATTTAGAGGTACTTGATCTTTAGGAATTTCTTATTATGCAATCCAAGTATCTAAAATGAAAAAAAAAATCCCCAAAATTAAAACCAGATCTAGATCAGCAACGTCATCTGTGAACCCCTAAGCTTTATGCTTTAGCTGTCCAAATAAGTCCTCGAAGAATATAACCATCCTATAGTAAACGTGTAATGCATTACAACCATGGATCAGCTCACTAAGAAAGATAATTCCATCTGCCCTCCAGGACTGGAGCTGGACAAACCCGTCTTCAATTATATGGGCCACGGAAAAGGTGAAGCTGTACTGTGCCTGATTACTACCTGCAATTAATTGAATTTGGCTCCCAGAGACAAAAAAAAAAAAATACATACTGGAATTCTGTGCTATGAATGGCAGTGTGCAGTAACCCACGAAGACCAGTTGCAATTCGGTTGCATCGCCTGGTCACCGTACACTACAGCACATTGTTCGTTGTCCCATTACTAAATAAGCCCTACCAAACGTTGTGCTCTTGTACCAGACTATAGAGTTTTAAAACAGCTCTGCCCACGCAAGAGGTGGAAGCTTGAAGATTAAATGTTTTAGAACCTAAAAAGTCCATATATAATGGAGGTATACAATACTGGATAATGCACAGCATTTTCAGTGATGTCACTAACAAATGTTCAAAAAAAAAACAAAAAACAAAAACAATCAGAATCCATCATGCACTGCATGTATAGTTTCCAGATGACTTAAGATGAAGATCTCTATTGAACGGACAGCCATCCATAGTTGCTGATAAAGTCACAGTGATTCTTATAAGTTCAGTCTGATAAAACAAAAAGGGAGGTAAAAAGAGTGGGGCAAGCAACCTCAAGTTTTCCCCAAGCAATCTGCATATCTATGTCCTCGAGAAATTTTCTGTCTCGCACAAGGCACAATCCTGCTTCCTACACCCTGTGAACATTAAGTTACCCACTCTCAACGACTAGGCGGTGGCAAAGTCGTTGAGTTGACATAGACGCCATGATCTCCCGGTGTTACAAAACTCAGACACACTACAACTTGTTGCTCAATTTGCAGAACTCCAAGGAATAAGCCCTGTGCAGCTTTAAATAAAGATGGAATGGAACGGAACACCAGGCAGCCTAGGCATCCAACTCAAACCTGGCAACGCCAAGATTTTGACGGGCTTAGCCTACGCGTTTGTCATTCAACAAAGACCTCAAAAGGTTCATCTTTTCTTCTTCTGCTGCCTGAGCATTTTCTTCCGCTTAACGATCATTTCGTAGAGCTTCTCTATGCCTTCCCGCAGTCCATCGCCAATGATAGCGCACGTGGGCTGAAGATGCCACGGCGTGGAAGAGCTGAGTTCATTTAACGCCAACAGCTTTTCGATTTCTGACAAGGATAGAGAGTTCCGGAGATCCTGCTTGTTGGCAACAATCAGGACGGGGACTCCTTGGTTCTCGGAGATCTTAGTGATTTTATACAGTTCCGTTTTGGCCTCCTCCATCCGTTCGACGTCAACAGAGTCCACCACAAAGACGATCCCATCTGTGCACCTAGTGTATGACTTCCAGAGGGGCCTCAACTTCTCCTGACCCCCCACGTCCCAAAAGTGAAACGTCACAGTTTTGGCGTTGCCCAGGGACACTTTGATCTTCTCGGCATTAAACCCTTTGGTGGGGACGGTGTTGACAAACTCATTGAACTGTAACCTGTATAAAACAGTGGTTTTCCCAGCACAGTCCAAACCCAAGATTACGATGTGCAGTGCTTGAAATGGTGATATGCCAGAGAGGATAGGAGTCTGTTCTGAAAGTCCATTCCCCATTTTGAAGAGGGTTTTGTAAAAAGGTTGATGGAACACAATCTGTAGCCAATCCAGAAGATTTCCTAAAAGAAAAAAGGGCAATCAGTAAATATAGAATTTAAAGAACATCACAAAGATCCATTGCTAAATACTTCTTGGTTGGGTCTCCCCCTGAACTGCAAGGGCTAAATACTGATTTAAGTTTAGGGAGCCACAAAAACCAATTCTCTGCTAACCCGGCAGTCGAAGCTCTCCTCAACTCCCTTACACTCCAACAGTGGACTGTCACTTGGTGCCCTCCCATCCAATGCAGAGCTATGAGCCCCATGTTGGGCTTCAGAACCTTAGAGCACCTACAACCACTGAAGCATAAGGGAGAAGAGGTTATGGGGACTGGTCTCAACAGTCTTTCTCAAACTTTTCAACAGAGAGGAACCCTTGAAATAACTTTCCGGTCTCAGGGAACCCTTGCTAAAAATGACTACTTCTACAACTCATGATACATTAGTGTGATGGTCAGTGGGAAGAATGTTCCTTACACTTGAGGTCATGGAGAAGAATTACCCCCTTATAGATAGCTAAAAAGATCAATAGTGTTATTGGGAACAATGTCACTGATCATTGTTCAAGGAACCCCTAGCAACCTCCTGAGGAACCCCGGTTTACAAACCCTGATCTAGAAGGAGCAGAGATTCAGGTAAGTAAACTAAGTACTTTTCTTAACCCTTAGACTTATTCGAGTATTTAAATCCCTTCCAGGCTAATGATGGGTAGGAAATGTATATTTATTTATTACAGGTATATAAGTAGGGCCATCAATTTATGCAGAGCTTAACATCCTGTACACACACATCAGTCTATGCCCTCAAGGAACTTACAATCTAAGGCCCCCATCTTGTATACATTCACCCCTAATAAGGTTAACTTGGCCAAGAGTCAAGTTAAAAGCGGAGTTCCACTTACTCTGTAAAAAAATAAAAGTCAGCAGCTACAAAAACTGTAGCTGCTGGCTGTTAAAAAAACAGCCATTCACCTGTCCCACGATCCTGCGGTGCCCCCGCCGCAGCCTGTTTCACCAGCTGTCCTGTATTCCAGGCGCCGGCATCTTCAGTGTGGGCAACCGGCTGTTACAGCTTGCGGCTTCCTGAATGGCTCCGTAGCCTTCTGGGACCTGTCACGTGTCCCACAAGACTATGGAGAGGGAGGGTAGGAGGACAACTTCCGCTTCCGATCACCCTAGGCGATTGCAGTGGACGTAGGAGCGGGTACCTGTCAATTTTGGTTACCCACTCCCCAAAGGTGCCAATCCTTAATGAGGAGCGGGGGACCAATCTTTAAAGCGGAACTTCCCCTTTTTGGTGGAACCCCGCTTTAACCTACCTGCATGTCTTTGGATTGAAGATATCGATCTAAATTATTTCCCAACTTAAAGTATAACTAAAAGCAAATATTTTTCGAGTTTTAGATGGTGCAGGGAGGGATTAAAACACAGGGCAGGTCTTTTTTATTTATGTCTGTGTGTCCTTATGGGAGATTCACCTATTTGTCCTGTTTACCCTTCTCAATGGGAGAAAAAAAAAAAAAAAAAAAAAAAAAAAAAGCTCAAAAATTGGGTTGTCACCAAAACAGCAATAGAGAGGAAATCTTCTACTGGGGACACTAGTTCTGGTGACCGTCAGGGATTCCCTCGCTCTACTTGTTTTGGCTACGGGACAGGAAATGAAAAGAATAACTGACTGAATAACTTCAACATGGGAAAAAAAAAAAAAAAAAAGACAATGCTTTTTTATGTTAACAGAATCAAATTTGAGAAACGTTATTACATCAAGTCATGAAGAGGGTCATCGAAGTCTAAAAAGTCTCAAAACCATTAGAAAACAAAAAAAAAAAAGCATACAATGATCACCCTAAAGTCCAATTCATAGAAAACAATTACAATTCATGTAACAACTTTCATTTGCTCAAAATCATTCTTATAACATTGATTTTTTATTTTTATACATTATTGTGAAAATAAAACCTCAGAAGAGCAGTCTTTAGGAAAAACAAAAAATATAATCAACGCCATGTAATTTAACTAGGGGTGCACCAGAATTTCGGTGGCCGAAACGTTTCGGCAAAAAACACCCCTATTGGCTGTTGGCCGATATGAAAATAAGCACTAATACAGGTGCTGAAAATAACCCCGCCCCCTCGCCGCTGCCACCGCCGGTCCGCCGCTGCAGTCACCACTCGTAGTTCTCAGCCTTACCTGAGAAACCACCGAACGATCCCGGCACTGGGCATAGAGATGAGTGAAGGAAAGATGGCCTGCACTCATCTCTATGCCCTTGGAGGACCAGAGCGATGTCACTTCCAGTTCTGGCACCTTGTAAACAACATGTGGGGTCCCCAGATCTCTCCATAAACAGGACCTGTCACTGCTTATTTCTATCACAAGGGATGCATGCATTCCTTGTGTTAGGAATACAAGTGATTAATATATATATATATATTTATTTTTTTAAAACAAAAAAGGTACAGTGTAAAAAAAAAAAAAAAAAAAAAAAAAAAAAAAAAAGTGCCCCCATCCCCCCGTGCTCATACATACTAGTGAACGCATGCGTAGGCAATGCCCACATATGTAAACGGTGCTCAAACCACACATGTGAGGTATCGCCACAAACATCAGAGCAAGAGCAATAATTCTCACACTAGAACTCCTCTGTAACCTTACACTGGTAACCTGTAGAAAATTTTTAAATTGTCACTCATGGAGATTTTTTAAGTACCGCAGTTTGACACCATTCCATGAGCATGTGCAATTTTAAAGCATGACATGTTGGGTATCCATTTACTCGTCATAAGATCATCTTTCATATTTTACCAAAAAATTGGGATATTTTTTTTTTTAACCATTATGTATTCAGAGTATTTAAAAAAAATATATATATATTACATTTTTAAAAACCGTCCATTTCGGTTTTCGGCCAAGTGCATCCTGAATTTTTGGTTTCCGTACCAGAATATTCATTCACCACTAAATTTAACTGATACAATGTTACCATCTTCCATACCCACCCCTATAATAAAATTTGGGTATACTTTATATGCGATCGATACATTGACGGATACCGATTATTTGTGCAACCTATGTATACTAAATGCCCAGTTTTCCCTAAGGACTCATTTACTCCAGATGCAATCAAACGCATGTATTAAAAAATACGCAAGAAAACAGAATGTATTTTAATGAGCCTAGTTTACACTATTACTAAAAGGTGGTTTCATGTGTGTTTAAAAAAAGAAAAAAAAAAAAAGAAAATACAGCTTGCTGCATGTTTTCCACATGTAAACATGCTGAACACACAGCAAACACATAAAAATGCAACTTGGTAATACCAACAGAAATAATAATTCTTAAAAATTGCACACGAAATGCACCAGAAAACATTACAAATGTACACCTGGAACTGCACGCTAAATGCAGAGATTGCGGCATAAATCAACCCTTAGATAAACATTTAGGGTTTGTTTACACTGCTGACAACCCTTACCACACCTCGGATTAATGATCTATGGTAGATGGCTTTTCAGAGGGTGTTTGACAGATGGTTGGAAGGCGATCGCTTCCATTGCACGATCGCTTCTATTGCATGTGGTTGCAGCACGGCCCCATTCACTTTAGTGGGTTATGTTTGGTGGACAGGAACAAGGGGTAGAATCAAGGGTTGGGCGCACTGACAACTCATGGAGCCCCTGGGCAATAGGGGATCATGGGGCCCCTGTGTCCTTGCCCAAACTCAAAAAAGCCTATGAAAAAAAGGTACCAGGGGCATCTTATGGGGCCCCCTACTGACCCCGAGCCCTCGGGCAGTGCCCAAGTTTCCAAATGGTCAGTCCGTCCCTGGGTAGAATCTTTGCCACGGCATGTGTATAACCCCCTCTGGCCTCTGTATTAAGTTGAACGAGGCGGACTTGGTAGGGCAGTAAAACCATGGCTCAACTGCCTATTTTTATTGCATGTGTGAATGAGCCCTAAAGCAGGCCATAGAGGAGAACATTTTTCACTTCATTTGGTGTGCCGGCTGCAACGTGATTTTCATGCTACAATTGATAGTACCGGATCCAACATCCTGTTTGTTTGTTTTTTTAGAAAATATAAACAATCAATGACACAAATATATGAGCTATTTTTGTTTTTGATCGACAGAACTTTTTTTTTGATTCGTCTATGGCCCGCTTTAAAACATAAAAAAAAAAAAAAAACCACTTGCTGGGATGCTAAACTACGCCGCACAATATCCTGTGACGAAGTGAAACTTTGTACAGGAGTAAACAAATAAAAACAGAGTTCAAGAAACATTCAATCCAAACTTTCAGCGGTTAAAAAAGTCAAGGCGCGCCCAACCAACCACTGAAAGGGCTTATTAAAAATGAGACCCCCCCCCCCCCCCCCCCCCGTAACCATCTCCTACAATAGTATCCCATCCTCCAGCTACATCCCTATGGAAACATCTTAAGTAAAGCGCAGCCACCTGCGATTTTTCAAATGCGTTCGCGGTTGCTAATAGCTGATGTCACCAAATTCAGCCGGCGATAGGTGTCAGAGGAGGCACGACGAAAACCACAATAAATGCGTTCTGATTGACAGCAGGACCCTGGGGGGGGGGGGGGGGTTAGTCTTTGTTGATGAGTAAGCCTGCAGCTTGGCGAAAGTGGAATTGTGCACCGAGCAAAGTCAGCTCTGCGAAAAGCAGAACGCCTGCAGGAAAAGGGGGGGTGTTGGCTGATCCTACACACGCCGCCGCACCACAACACCGGTTGGGGAAGGAGGTGGGGGGGTCATGCAGGATCAGACAGCTGTGATCAAACATATCCTCATTGGAATTGAATTTGTTACAACGTTACCCTTGTATTGGCAGATTGATATGATGTATCCTTGCATCCTATCTATATTTTGTGTCAGCCCTAGAATGCAGGGGGGGGGTGGTGGGGGGGGGCATCACTGGTTATGGCTGTTGCATAGGCCACCCATAGAG